ATGTAACTTAGCATCTGCGTCAAAAAATCATTTGTTAAAAATAAACCCAAAAAAATCTGCTTTGCTTTTATGTGGTAACAATATTAGAGCTAACTTATTAGACAGACGGATGATAAAAATTAATGATAATATAGAGTTTAAAGATTTGGCAAAAAATTTAGGTCGTGTTATTGATTATAATCTTATATTTAAAGAGCATGTAGCTAGTATTCTTGGGAAAGCGTATTCTGTGTTGAAAATGATATATTCGCACATACATTATCTGAAGAGAGATATAAAAAAAAATATGTGATTCTCTGATTCTATCCATATGTAATTACTGTGATAATGTGTATGGTCCGTGCTTAGATAATATCGATTCTAAACGTTTACAAAAATTGCAAAACTCGTGTCTTAGATTTATACAGTATTGAAAATGTGAATATAGATAGATAGATAGATTTAAGCGCGCTGGAATTTTATTAACATTTTAGTTACAAATATTTAAAAATACTTGCAAAAAGCCAGATACTTTTGTCAATGTTTAATAATTGGCAAACGTTAAAAAAAATGTATAAGCTAGAGTGGCTCAACGAGCAGCAATAATTGTGAGTGAGAGCAAGAAATGTAAGCGCTTTATAGCGTATTAAATAAAAATAAAATAAATAGTTTATGGGTAGTAAAAATAATATAATAAGACATTCTGGAGTATCTAATAAAAAATTTTATGGTGGTCAAGGATTTTATAAATTTTCATTCTCTGAATTTTCCTAGTTTTTCAGTTTAACTAAAAAATTTTCATACTTAAATTAGTAACATGTATTTAAAATTGAAAACTGTTTGAGGTACAATATATCGGGTGTCCCATTAAAGTCATCGACCGGCTGTATCTCAGAAACTATGTGTCCTATAGATTTCGGGAAAAACTTTTTATGACTAATATAGCCATAGAAATTCAATATTTTTATTTTTAGATTCAAATTTTGACCGCTACAAAAAAATGAAAGTAAAAAACTGCATTATTTTTAAAAATCAAATGGAAAGATAGGTATAACTTAATGTTTTCAAGATCTTTATTATTCAAAATTTTTGTTTGTCCAATATAAAAAAAGAGTTCCAATGAAATTAATTAATAATAAATACCTTTTTTATGATACTGAAGTTTGCAGACATCTTGTAATTTAAACTTTTTAAACAAATTAACTGTTTATTGTTAAAAGTTATCATCATAAAAAAGATATATTTACGTGGTCTTTTCTCAGTAACTATAACTTTTGAAAAAGTAGACTTAATCTCACAATATTCTACTGGAGGATTTTTCGTGTAGTTAATATAATTCTTTTTACATAAAATACTAAACAACTTAATTGATTGCAACGGGTTATTGAACAGAATTCAGATCAAAGTTCTTAGGTTTGCTTCTCATGAAAATAATATATTTAAATTACCCACTATAAGTACTAATGTTATGAAAGCATCTCCTTTATATCAGATGATTGTCAACTATTGAAATGTTGAGGACAGGTTAGATATATTTTTTGCACTATTAATGAAATTAAAAAGCAGATTCTTTACTGTTAATTTATAGTTTTAATACTGTATTTTTGTTTTTACAATTTTATTGATTCGTGCCTATCTATATGTATTTATATAAGTGTATCTGTGTGCATATGTATTTATATATTTTATATCTACTATAGTTTATATTTTCATGTGTGTATATGTATGTATATTATATGTCTACTATATTTTGTACTGGTATATTGCTTTTCAATTATTATTATTAATTATATTTATTGACGTATATTTTCGAATGTGTTGTGTGTTATATTACTACATTGGTTTTGTATCCTGTAACTGAGCATTTGCCTGTTGGATATGTAGTGAAATAAATAAATAAATAAATAAATAAATAAATAAATAAATAAATAAATAAATAAATAAATAAATAAAACATGTATAAAATATTCCTCGATAAATTGGGTTCAATAATTTATCAATTTAGTACAAAAATTGACACAATGAAGAATAATGTATAACATATCGTAGAGACATAGATGGGAATGATAAAGTAATATATGCAATAGTGAACAAAATAATGAAAAACGTGGTCGCAACAACTAAGCACATAAGCATACTAACATATACCAACTTACTCCAAAATTCTCCAGCCAAATATCTTGGATAGGAAGTATACCCAGGATAGATCACATCTTTCAATAGCCAATGGTAGTGCAGAACGCAACAGCTAACTATGCCGAGATATGCTCTCAGTTGTACTTATTGCTGTCCATTGCGCATCTCACTCCAGCTCTTACAATATTTTCTTAATGTTTGCCAATTATTATTAAACAATGATAAAAGTGTCTGGCTTTTATTATTATTATTATTATTATTTTAGCCCATATTCATTTGTACATTTGCGTTATGCGCAATACCTTCAGTACAAAGTATGTCAGGCAAACTTTTTTATTCCCTATCTATCCTAAATGTACCACCGTGCAAAATTTTTACGTGCCTAAAACACTTCACTGAACAGATGTCACGAGCTCTCCGACTATAGAAAAAAATATTAATATAACCAGAAAATGTACTTTTACCAAATTTTACAAAAAGGTGTGATTTTTATGTGTAACAGACAATAGGAACTGCAGTGCTCCCTGAAATGTATTAATATCTTAATAACCACAGCCGGATTAAATATTTACAGCGGGTCCTGGTTCTCAATTGGCTGTGCTGTATATGTGTAAAACATTTTTGTTTTCATAATCAACGAGTAGATGCAATCAGAATATTATTTTTCAAAAACATTATTTTTAAACATATACAGTGTGTCCATGATAGAGTTGGCAAGAGAGAAAACTTTTTTATGTGTAGGTTTAGAACAAAAAGTCATTCTTTATCTGCTTATATTGAAACTACAATTTTGAATACCAGATTTGAGATTGCTATACAGGATACATTAAAAATAACATTTTTATTTACTTCGATTTCGATTTTTTTAAAATTTTTTAAAATATTATCTAAACCGTGATTTATTATACAAATTGTGCAAAAAAGTACATTTTTGCCAAAGTAGGTAATTTCATAGTTAAATACTTATAAATTCTTATATCTTTATTTTTATTTTCAAATAGCTAGTTTTAATCATTGAGTAGAATAATACAATATCAAGTATCCTGTTTTAAATAAATGAAATGATCTGACAAATTGTTGATAGTCATGTTATAATTTTGACTGAAATTAGAAAATGCTTAGCGCAAAGAATTTATATTGTCCTATGTTATGGCTTAGGGCAAATAAATAACCTATATGGCAGTTGTGAGACAATTCCATTAGTGATGGGTTGCTAAATAGCAGCCTGCTTTTTTTAACTGCTATTTGGTTCGTAATAATGCTAACTGCTACAAGCTTCAAAATTAGCTGCTATTTTTAGTAGCAACTAATATTTTAAAATATTTACTGTGACGTGACTGGCACGGACCGAGCGACCGAGCTGATTGTCAGGTTAAGTGTTAGGTGATTTCGACTATTTCGAGCACTGCGACTACGATTTACTTACTGCGAAATGCGAACAGGGATAACGCCAGTTCAGACCAATCGAACCGTAGAAATCTGTTTAGGTGACAACAACGTAAACGTAGAAATGAGTGAATAGTGGATATTATTCTTTCTTATTATTATTTATGACATTTTTGTTTGGGTTTGTTTGAGAGTTTTTTACAGCGTGAGGCGTGAGTGGATATTATTGTTGACTTCGTTTATTTTGGTTGGGTGTTTTTTAGAACAGTCCGCCACCGATACTCGATACTGAGACAAACGAAATACCTTTTGAAGCAAAAACAAATATGTTTTTATTTATCTATATTTGTTACTTGTCGAATAATGCTAAGAAAGCAACTGCTATTAAAATAGCAACTATTTTTAACTGCTATTTTTGTGAAGCAGTAGCAAAAGCAATTGCTACACTAAATTCCATGACATATGGCCTGATGTTCATCTCACAGATAACGGAGCAAAAAAAGTGTAATGAAATTCACGAGAACAGGCAGTGTTTTTTAAAAAAAAAATGTAAAAAAGAGCACAATGAAGATGATGTAGTGACTTTAATGGCGATGGATTCAGCTAGAAATTTTCCAAAATTGTTTTTAAGAAATAAATCTTTGCAAATTGGAAATGTTATCCGTGAGATGAACATCAGACCATATCTCATGGAATTGTCTCACAACTGTCATATAGCTTGTTTGTCCTAAGCCATAACATAGGAAAATATAAATTCTTTGTTCTAATATAAGCATTTTCTAATATCACTATCGTGCACAATTCAAAATTATAGCATAACTATCAACAACTTGACAGATCATTTCATTTATTTATTATACTTGATATTATTATAATATTACTGAATGATTAAAACTTATTTGAAGATAAAAATAAAGATATAAGAATTTACAAGCAATTAGCTACGAAATTACCTACTTTGAGAAAAAATTTTATTAGACTTTTTTTGCACAATTTGTGTAATAAATCACGGTTTAGATATTTTTAGATAATCAAAAAAAAATCGAAATCGAAGTAATTAAAAATGATATTGTTGGTGTACCCTGTATAGCAATCTTAAATCTGGTATTCAAAATTGTAGTTTCAAGACAAGCAGACGTTTTTATAAAGAATGACTTTTTGTTCTAAACTTAACCATAAAGTTTTCTTCCGAAATCTATCCGTGGACACACTGTATGTGCAACCTGCTCGAGATTTTAGGGCCGGCCACATCTATTTTGTTTTTATTGAAATTTCATTCCAAATTTTTTTATCATCAAAAGATCTATACGAGAATCTAGAAATCATCCTAAAAATACAATATGGATCCCACGCTTTATTATTGAAATATGATCACTTTCATTTTCACGCGCCGTCATTACTCTCACTATAACACAGAAATACTTTAAATCTTCAGGTCTTATATGAAATGAAAACGAATATAAATACAATAATATTATAATTACAATACAAAAACCTACCTCTGGCCATTTTTCTGGAATAACATCGAAGAGTTCATCTTTTACGTCCCCTTGTATTACAATTTCATCGTTACCAGTCACAGAGGAACCACAAGCAAATTTTGTACCAAAAAATTTTGCTGCTACTTTTAAATCAATATCTAAAAAATTTTTAATTTAATGATCTTTTTCCTTAAATGTTTATTTTATATTTAAGTAAAAGTTGAAAGTTCAAGACAGTGTGAGAATATTCACAGTTGAAAAAAGCACATTTTTAATAATTCCACCTTATGCACTTTTAACTATTAAATACAAAGTTTTTTAAAAAAATATAAAGTTGTTGATTGAATTGGGCATTAGAACATGTATTCTTTCGTGCTGAACAAGAATATACCGATGAAACTGAATCTCTGGTTAGTCTAAAAGTAATATTTTTATTCACTATTTTATTAAGCAACATATTTTTGAAAATTTGCAACATATTTTTATTTTAGATAGTTATTAGATAATTCAATATTAGTATCAAAGAGTAAGTATATGACTTGATCTGTTGAGAATTTTAGAAAAGTTTTTAACATAATTTCAATTAACCTTTTAAGTGAAGCACATGTAATATCAAGAATGAAATAATAGGATTTATTTCCCATTAATCAATCTTTATGATAACCTTTATTAAACCATTTGACTGACCTCATTTATGCATATAATTGTTTTTATATTTATTAGAAATTAATTTAAGTCATACAACCGAATAATTTAATTTCATTTTTATTTTACACCACACAACAGAAAGTTCCAATTGCAGGATGGAAATATATATAAAATATTACATATATACATAGATCGAGACAATAAATAAAAAGTAGTTATATACAGGGCGTCCCATAATTAATGTTGTCTTCTATCCAGATAAAGCTCGAAAAATGGTTATATACAGGGCGTCCCATAATTAATGTTGCCTTCTATCCAGATATAGCTCGAAATAAGGCTGCGCTACTCCGCGAGAACAAAATTTTTCCTAAGCATTCAGGCAGACCAGACCATACGCAAATAACAATGGTTAATAAAGAAACTTGCTCAACATCACTGCACTGTGACAAGTTATAGTAAACAAATCCCTATTTGCACATTACACCTTGACGCGTTATTTTTGGAAACAAAAGCATACTTTGCAAAAAGTAAATACAGACTTACGCATCTTACTGAAAAATTACGTTTAATTCGACTTTTTTGACTTCAAAGAAGTACCTACACCTTTTTTGTGTGAAATTGAATGCCATTTCTTTTTGTTCGAGAATGTACATACAGGGTGGATAAAAAAGTTATGGACATGTTAATGGACCAATGTTGCTATAGATCATTTAGTGACAATGGTGAAACTGATACCATTTTCGTACTACGCATGCTGAATAATAACACGATACCAAATTTCATCGAAATCCGTTAGCTTTCAAAATATTTCAAAAAATTGGAAATGAAGTTATTGAAACACCCTGTAGAACAAAAACGAGTAATATTTTGCTAAGGCACGTTGGTCCCAAACACTTTATTTTGATGCCAGCCATCACCCTCCTTAAAATGGGACACCCTGTAGAGAAAATAGACAATGTAGGGAAATTCGTCCTTGTGTTTTGTTTATACATTTGTTTACTGTTTTCATGATGTTTCTAGATTATGTTCTGTTTCTGTTATGTTTTTAGAAACTTAGAGATGTTTATATTGTTCTTATAGCTGTTTTACATTGACAATTTATTCATAAATAAATTCACGAAGTTCTTCATGAACTAATTCATGAATTTATTCATAAAGGATTTGGTTTTACACTGCTACAGACTTCGTTAATTTCTTTGACCCATAAATCAGTTCTACCAACAAATTAAAGAAGCAAATAAATTTCAAATTTCATTAAAAAAAATGTTACTTTTCCACATAATGGTACAACAGCAGCACTATTTGGACACAGTTAATAAATATTAATTTTTGTAAGTAACAGATTAGGAAAAACAATACAAAAGTAGTACAACAGGTACATTACACTTGTGAAATAAATTTGCAATGTAAAACAGCTATTAAACATAAAACTTTACAATGAATGTAAATGTATTTTATTATCATTGATGTTTATCTATGCTATAATATACAGGGAGTTTTTAAAAGAAGTAGCACAAATGATACTGGTGAATCTACACTAAAAAGAACACATTTCCCACTAAACACGAAACATAAATGAAACGTTGCAAATGAGCTGTTTTACTAAACATTTGACACATTAACTAGAAATGTTTCTTATTCATTACAGAAATGTAGCACTTGAAAACTTATTTAGTGAAACATAACCGAAACATTACAATTGAAGAGAGTTTGAAACATTACTCGAAACATTCCCTTTCGATCTCGGAAACATAACCAGACGAACAACCCTTTGCTTTTTTTGCTTATCTTATGGAACATTCGGCATTAGTTAAATTTTGCTATCAATCCCCAATCCCTCTCAAGCGTTAGTTCATTTGACTTTGTTATACAAACAGACATAAACAGAAAAAAAAAATTGTGGTAGCATATTTATGACACAAGTCTAGAAAAAATGTATGTTCGTGACTTGCGTAGACTGCGATTAACAGCCTGAGTTTATTTGATTAACGTGTGTCTTTTTCAATTCGTTTTATGTACCTATTATGCACTGAAAGAAATCCACCAAGTGAGGGGCTTTGCTAAGATATTTTAGCTACAATAGGTAAAATTTTTGCTCTCACAGAAAAAAATTCATGCTGCCACAAGTAAATACGTTTTGCTGAAACGTGTTTGCTACCACAACAAAAAAAAGTCTTGTGGCTATATGATAGTTCAGTTGAAATTTTATTTTAGTCGACTGTCTATCTGTCCCAAGTGAGCTGCTTTGCTCGGGTAAGTCAATGTACTTTTTTAGAATTGATCCAATTGGGGTTAGTCAGTCCTTATTTGTAGCAAAGGACCCCGCACTAATCTTATGGATTTTGGCCCCCGGTGAACTTCTCTGTAACTTTGGGAAAATATAGGTTTCGACCTACTGATCAAATATCTCCATGGGCACAAAGCCGAAAAATCACTCCTATGGGCCCTACCGGGGGATTTTAGTTCCAGTTCCTTCGCCGGGGAGAAGGCTGAAAATGGATTTTTGGGGCTAAAATTGTCCTCTCTTTCATATTCTGGGATCAGTTCATGGCTGCTGACCTCCTAAATACCCGAAAATGGAGTGCGAAAGGGGTAAAAACGTGAATAATTTTGCTTTTGCTGTAACACGTAAGCACTGGATATACGTTCGTCAATCGTTAGTCGATGGGTCCTTTATAATAAATAGATGTTTTGTGATCGAGTGTTGAGTCAGTTTTCAGTTGTCTGACAATCGACAGAAAGTTTTTCAATTAGGGTATTTGCGTAGGTATGCAATAATACTTATATGCATGCGTGATTACATGCACACAATGCAGGCTGGATACAAACTCTTACTTCTCGAATAGGGATTTTCATTTTATGCTTGTTTGAAAATATGTACAACATGTAAGTTGCATTGCATGGTACACGAAAGAGTGAGGAGAGCCAACAACACTGAAAAATAGTAAATACGGAGTTCACTCGCTTGGGGTGAATGAGTCGACTCGCTTAGGCTTAATGAGGACTCGCTTGGGGTTAATGAGTTCACTCGTTTGGGGTTAATGAGTTTAGTCGTTTGTGGTTAATAAGTTGACTTACTTGAGGTAGCAAAAAGATTATAGCAAAATTGTCTACTTACTACAAGTGAGTTGCTTCCAGCAAAGCAGTTTTTCTTGTGGTAGGAAGGCAACTCACTTGGCGCCTGTTTAATGCAGATATTTTGCTACGGTTAATGGATTTTTACTAACCGTAACAAAGAAATTCTCTCAGTGTGTTAGGTTAGATTTGCGGTTTGCCAGTTTGCGTGGCTTCGTTGTTCTCCATCTTTACTTTGACGCTATTTTATGTGATAATTTGTAGTGTGTGCAGTTGTTATTGTAAGGTGCATATAAAATAATGAATATTGACGCCAAATATGTGTAGATTTCCAATTTTGCCTCAAATCTACCTGAACATAGTTATACCCACTACTTATTATAGACAAGAGGACAAGGGACAAGAACTAAGAAAAAGGAACATGGAACTATACGTTTTAATATAATTTGAAGAGCAACTACTTAGGCAGTGAGAACTATTTGAAATATGGATGAATCAAGTGATATAGACGTCATTTATTTTATATTTTGTACAAATGTTTATATTTGTTTATGTGTATAGGCATGCTTAAATAAAAGAGTTTAGGTATACCTACAGATATTTATTTTGTCAAGATATCATTTTGTATCCTTTTGTATCAAGATTCATAATCATAACTAACTTTTTCTAATTATCAGTTCGTCATTGTGCATATTCAGGATGGTCTCAATATTAGAAAATTTTCATTTCAGAAGCGTATTTGAACAATATAAAATGATGTGTAGCTTTTTTAAAATGCTTCTGATATTGTTTTGTGACATTTTATTTGTACGATGAATGGCAAAATTCGTAATCCATATTATTTTTTCAGTGGCTTCTCAAAAAGAAAGAAATTATTGGTAAAAATTGCCGCATCCCCAAACTAGAAGAGCATATTTATTATTTTTTTAATATACAATGTCAGAAAAAGTTGTCTGGAGTTCGAATTAAGTCATTCACAATACAAATAGAAATATCACAAAAGAGTATTATAAATATTTAAAAAATTACTCACACTATTTATACTATTTCAAAAACGCTTTTGAAATGAAAATTATCTAAAGTTGAGAGCATTATGAGAACAATATGGTAATAAGATTATTGTGTCAAATATTTCTGAAAATATACTGAATCGTAAAACAAAAATATCGAGTGCATAAATGGAACATAAAAAGAATGTCACTGAAACCAATTGTTTGAAACGTTTCATTGGAAACGTATTTTGGGGAGGACATCTTGGGTTTCTAAAACGTTACCAGAACGTTGTATGGATTTTTTATGAAACGTTTCGAGAAAAATAGAAACGTTTCTGAAACATGTCTGAAACTGAAAAAGGTTTAGTGGGTTGGCATAAAATGACTTTAGTAAAATAGGAGATACAACCTCTCAAAGTTTCCAAAAAAAAAAAATATGGAAT